GACTTGGGAAGCTTCTGGAGTTGCCAAAACTGGGATGTTGGACAGATCAGATCTGCAGACCACAGCAGATGACCTCATTGCGTTTCTGTTTTTCCAGCCTCCCTTCAGCTAAGTACTAATATTTCCCCAGTCAAGTATTACCAGATGTATAGGATTTTGAATTTGATCTCTTTCTAGCATTTACTCTAAATTTATGACAGCTGCTTGATATCTTGCAAAGTCTGAGTACCTGGAACTTTTGCCTCTGTCCTGGACTGTGTCTGCCCCAGGGAAGGTGAAGAATTCAGGTTTCAGTTCAGCACAAACAGTATGTAAAGTCAGGCTGAAGGGGGGAGAAGACCCCAGTGCCTCATGGTTTACACCTAGGCTTTCTCTCACCCCCAGTGCAGGGGCAGCTTAACCTGAGCTAAGCTGAGATTGCTGCTGATTCCAAGGGCAGATGGCTATTCTAGAGCGCTGACAAAAATGGGCCACTACAAACATACATGCTTCCTACAAAAATAAAAGCTATTTCCTTCTTTGAAGATGACCTAGTTACATTGTGTGGAGTCTATTCTCTACTTTCTCTCAAGTCTGTATTCCTGTGCATTGCTGGATTTGCATAAAGCTAGTACAGTCTTTCCAGGGGATAATTAGCATTAGGTTTCAAAATGTCTGTGCCCTTTGAGTAATTTAACATACAAGAAATCACCAGAGTTCTGCAAACCAAATGAAGAGATGATCGTTGCAGAGTCCCTGAAAAGGAGGAGACATTATCAGTCACTGATGGGACAAAACCTGCAAATCATCAAAAATATGCAAAAGTAAGGTCAGCCAGATACCTCAGTGGATTAAAGCGTCTGCTTAGGCAGAGTGCAGTGGCTGGGGTTTGAGCCCTGGAGTGCTGTGCTGGCCCCACCCTGAGGGCACATTGAGAGGGTGATTGAGACTGGGCTTGGTAGTACACCTGTAATCCCAGCACTTGGGAGGCCGAAAACAGGAAAATCACTACAAGTTTGATCTACGTAGTGAGATCCTACAAACCCTGTAGATCCTGTACCAAATACATTAAAAGCATTTTTTAAATATACAAAAGTAGATATGCATCTTTAAATACAAAAGGCTACTCTTGATATTCTATTGCATAAATACATCAGGGATGCAACGGTAAATTTGATACACATTTACAGGAAAATATACGCATGCATAGAAGAAATTCCTGAAAAGGACCAAATCAATGACTTCTGGGTAGTATAAACAATAGCAGTTAAGAATTTTATTCTCCACTTCCCTGGCAAGCGCAAGGGCCTGAGTTCAATCCCCGGTTCTGCCAAAAAAAAAAAAAAAAAAAAAAAGAATTTTATTCTCACTGTCTTCTACAATGAATAAGGATTAGCTATGAAGAGTGACTCAGCATTGAAATTGGCCTGTGAGGCCCCAGGGATCTAGTGACCTTGGACCAAATGTGTGTTTGTGTGTTGGCAGGGATGTGGGCACCAACGACCATTGCTGACTTAGAAAGATGTGATGTCAGGGACCAGGCTTGGCCTCCCATCTCCTAAAATGAATTCCAGCAAAGATTTAAATAAAAGAGCAAGTGATAAGATTGGGGGAGTTCAGGCAGGTCAAACTCTCTTGGAGCTAAGACAAGGACTTTTTTGGACCACCTGTATTCAGTGAGTTTTTAAATAAAAGAAAGGGATGGCTGAAGCAAAGGCGAGAAGCTGAGTGGGACCTTGGGTGGTGCAGATCAAGAACTGCTCCAAGCAGGAAGCTTTGCCAGCTGGGGGAACTGTCCTGTCTCTAAGGCTCACAGGTACAGCAGGAGCCAAGTGGCTGCAGCTGCAGTCTTGTATGACATTGGAGTGGGAGCCAGGTGTCCTCGGCTGCAGCTTTATCTTTCTTTCTGAGGGGTCCCAGTGTCGTGGACCAATGCAGGCCTCCCTGGTGACCCTTGGTGTGAAGAGTTGCACTTATCTCACGCCAGCCACCGCTCCTTGAGCAGGTCACCAAGGTCTGGGACACACTTAGGAGTAATATAGAAAGTCAACTGATTAATTTGAGATCCATCATTGTGGGTGTGAGGGACTCAGGTTAAGCATCAGGAAAATATGTGGACATAATGTTCTGATTTCGTAGGATTTTTTTAAGTTTTAAAATGTTTATCCATCTGTGTTTGTAGTATATAGTGACCACCATCCTGGTGGGGAGTTGATGGGTGTATGAAAGGGGTCTCAATCCCTTTCAGTACTCTTTCCCACCCCTCCTTGTACTTCTAGATCCCTTTCCCATTTGCAAAAGATCTGTTTCCCTGTATCCTATTGTCAGTCTTTTATTTCACTCTTTAAATTATGGCTACTTGGGGTTTCTAGTATTTAAAAGAGAATGCAATGCTTATGTTTGTGCATCTGATTTATTTCACTCAACCTACTGTCTGAGGGTGCATCCCTGTTCCTAGAAATGGCTCAGATGTACATCCCTCTTTATGGCTGGGTAGTACTCCATTGTGTATAAATACCTCGTTTTCTTTATTCATTCACCTATTGATGGACATACACGTTGTGTTGCCTTTCTCTCTTGACTTTAGAAAAAATCCATTTTAATTATATCTTCCTTTTCTTGTTCTTGAGACAAAATACCATAACCATTAGTTTTATTAAATAATAAATATACAAAAGACAAGAATCCTTACAAAGTAAACGTAAAGTGCACAAAATATCCACGCACAGAAATTCAGTGTCCTAGACATGAAGTAGAACCCCAAATCCTGTCGGGGTCCCTAGAGAGTCTCCTTCCGCCTCCTTCCTCAAAGAAAACCGAGCTCCTAAGTTGTATATCGTTGCCTTGTTTTTCTTTCGAATCTTTTTCCTAAGCAGTGTTTTACTTAGTTTGCACACTGTGGTGCTTCGCGTAAGTGGAACTATACTTCACCATTCGTCTTCACCTGGGTTTCCCTTCGGTGTCTTACTTCTAACTGTAGCAGTCGCTGTCGTCCGCTCCTGTCGCTGATGACACGTCTGCCGGGTGAGTGCACCACGCCACCCAAGCACTGCCCCGCCTGTGGGCTTCGTTCTCAGTGGCTTTCCATTGATTGCCATTATGAAAATGCCCTTAATGTCCTCAGGCCCTCCTGTGTGATCTGTGATGCCCGTGTGGAAGGCCTGAGAAAATGTCCCCGTGTGGAATTGTTGAACTGTGGGTACGTGAAAGTTCCTGCGTCCAGCTTCATCACAATGCTAAACTGCTTCCCAGGTTGTTTAAATTTGCATTCTTGCCAGCAGTGTGTGCACGTGCGGGTCCTCTGCTCAGCTGCCAGGGTGGAGCGCTCTGCTCGCCGTGAGGGAGAAATGATTCACTTGTTTCCCTGGACACCCAGGAAGTTGGGCAGGTTTTTTAAACATTTGAGATTTTTTTTTCCTATAAAAAAAAATCTGTTTGTATCTTTTTGCCTATTTTTCTGTTGCTTTATTTCTGCTTTTAAAATTGGTTTATAGAAGTTCTATATATCCTAGGAAGAAATCCTTTGATAACTATATACACACACACACAGATATCTCCCCATGGACGGCCATCTTCTCTTCCTTGAATGAGAAGATGTCGCTCCTCTACCCACACTTTTTCCCTTTTGTGTCTTAAGATATCACCAACCCAGAAGTTCATAAATGTGAACTGTCTTCTAAAACGCTCCTGGCTTTGTCCCGGCGAATGGCATGAAGTTATCCAAATTATTTTTTCTATATACAGCTGTTTATTCAAGGAGCTTTTACTTGAAGGCCTCCCTTTCTCTCAGATGCATGAATGTCATCTCTGTCACGAACCATGGCATGGATGAAGTTCCCACACGTGTTTGCCACTTTCTGTGTCCCTGGAGCCCAGAGGGCCCTGAACTAGCCAGGCACCAAGGGTCCCTCCCAGGGAACCTTAGGTTTTAGGTTAGAAGCCTTTTCCCTCATGTCACAATGTAACTTTGTGACACCTTGATGGTGTCAAGAACCCATGCACTCCCAGGACTCCCTTCTGCTGGAGGTTTGTCCCTGGAGTCTCCCTCCAGCTGAGCTGTGGAGGCACCTGGTACTACCACACCCAAAGCAGAAGAGTCCTCCCATAGTAAGTTCTGTTCTCCCCACATCTGGACCACCAATAGTGTGCAGTCAGGTGATAAACTCACTTGTGGCCTCACCTGGGTCCGAATCTTCTCAGAGGAGGGTTTTCCTGTCTCGTTAGAGCCAGGTTCCGAGCCAGGCAGCCTGCCTCGGACATCAGGTGGGGAAGCGATGCGTTCTTTTCCAGTTCACTGACTCTTGGGACAGAGCCCCTGGGGACGCAGATTCACACAGGGTCTCCATTGAGCTCTTCTCTTTGGGTGGCCTTTGGCTTTGTTCTCTTCCCTGTGTACCTCAAGAACAGGAGAAGCAAGTGACCCTGGATTCTGCCTGTGTGGTGCCAATCACAGGCCAAGGAAGGCTTGTTTCGCTCACCTCTCAGGCCTCCTACCTCCTGCTCAGCTGTTTGGCTTCCCAGTGACCTTTGCTTAGCTGTAGCTCATCTCACATTAGGAAGTTTGCTCTCTTTTCTTTTGTTCTCTGGACTTTTTAGTTGTCTTCCCGTGGGAGAGTCTGAGTATCTAGTCCTCCACGCTATGGATAGACACTGGCTGAAGCCGTGTTTAGAACTGCACGTTACTCACCTTTCCTGCTGCAGGGCAGCACACCTGGCCCCTGCAGCCCACAGGACGAGTTTAGTTTGCTCGCAGTTCTGGCCCACAGTCGCCAGCTCTAGGGCAGAGGTGTCATGGGAGGACGGCGGAGCAATGAGGTTACTTAGGTCTCCGAGGCTGGGCAAGATCAAGAAAGGAGCTAGCAGAGAAGGGTGCATGAGGAGGCAGACCCTCCCAGGTCTCCACGCCCCTCGGTGCTCCCCAGCAGCACCTCCACCCATCCCCTGGCAGAGCCCAAAGCCACCGCGGCAGAGCCCCACCACTGCGCCACAAAGCCTGTGTGTTTTGTCAATTTTGCCTCAAGGTTTGCTGGAGACAGAGGCGTTGCAAGGAAGAGATGAGGACGCAGTAGCCAGCGCCGACTTCTCCAGCGCGCTCTCCGAGGAGGAGAAAGAGGAGTTAAAGGCAGAGTTCATTCAGGTATGTCTGGTGCCCTGCTTCCTCCGTTGCTGTCTTTGGACCTGGAGTGTTGCTGTTAGCTTGATACAGGCTCCATGTCGTAATCGTGTTGGCTTTCACTTAATAAACTGTAATAAATGAATACACTGACGATGATTCTTTTATCTGAGAGTATTTCTACAGTACTAATTATTCATCACCCATTGGTTACCGTGGCAAAATGAATATTTGTGCTGCTTAATCAACCATAATAATCATGTGAACAAATGCTTTTTAGTGTCAAAATACAATGGGAACAGAAAAATCACTTACAAGCCTCATGGAATCTGTGTAAAACCGTGGCAGAAGCACAGGCTGCTTCCTAAGAGTCGGCCTCGACAGACAGTAGATCAACGGCACGCTTTCTCACAGCCCCAAATTCACGTCAACCATGGCGTCCAGAGCTGAGCTCTGAGATGGCTGTAAGCTGATCCACCCTAAGCTCAAACTTCACCCGCTCCCTGGGAGTCTCCTTTCGGGGTGTGCATGGACAGCCTCTTAAGGGACCAGCGCTAAGGAACTCCTTGATCTTTGGGTCCTGGGGTTGCTGGGAGCCCCGTGTTTGCATTTGTCAGTGTGTGTTTGCTTTTGTGCAGTTTCTGAATGTTCAGTGATGAACAGGGATTCTTTTTATAATTGAGAAAAACAACATTGTTTTTCAATATTGGTTTTAAATGAATTCCCCGCAAATATAAAACAAACAAACAAGCAGAGTTTCAGATTCTTGCCTTTTCTGGCCAGGAATAAGCCTTCAGCGGGTTTCATTTCTAAGATACTTGGAGCCTGACTTCTGAAGACGTCACCCGGCTCTCTGTTACTGCGTTCAGGGGTCCAGGATCGGTGCATTTGCCTGTGGAGTGCCTTGGCCCACAGAGCTTTCTGTCTCTTCTGTCTGGGCTCTTCGGAGATGAAGAAATGCCACACGTTGCTGGTGGGAACAGCATGACTTCGTGGCCCTGTGCTCGCTGTCTGTCTCAAGGCCAGTGAGGGGCACATCTAGTTACCCTCACAGCTCCTCCTCCCTTTCTTTGCGTCTCTTTTCCCTCCCTCCTAGGCCTCTCCAGCTTCATGCTGGCCTTTTCCCTATCATTCTTCACACTCACACACCTGTGTACACGCAGGTGCGCAGCAAGCCAAGTCCCTGAGGGACACACACAGCCATGGCAGAGTCTCTCCTTGGCCCTGAGAAGACCTGGGACATCCTTGAGATGCGCAGCTCTCCCTACTACTTTGCTAGGACCCGTGATTGAAGGGAAGAGGCCACTGGTCTGTCAGCCACTGGAGCACCAGGACACCCAAAGCCAGCCATCGGGTGCCTGTTCTCACTCAGCACTTGGACATTCGAGGCCTTCTCGTCTCTAACTGCTTTGCTGCACAGGGCCTTCCCCGTGCCTCGTACCGAGTGCTGTCTCTGGTCCACACCTCTCCTTAACTTCCTCATCTCCTTCAGGCTGTGGGGGTCACTGTCCCTCCTGCCGCTCTCCCTGCCATCCCGCACTGCATTGTAATTAAATGGCCTGAGACTTGGCAGTCTTGTAACTCCATTCATATACAGCCAACTATTTGTGTGTACACGAAAAGCTGGCTCTACAAAGACTTCTTTTGGTGTCAAAGAAGCCAAAAACAAAACAGGTGGGTAGATTCTGCAGTTTTTGCTTTTTTTCTTTTTTTTTTAAATAGTCTCATATTGACTTTGAACTCACTATGTAACCCAGGTGGGTCTTTAACTCAGTGTTCCTCCTGCCTCAGCCTCCCCTAGTGGTGAGATTACAAACATGTGCCAACAGACCTGGCTTTAAAAGAGAACTCTTTCAGCACAATTTTCCCTTAGTTTGCTTCTGCAGGCATGCTGTCAATGAATTCTTCGCAGTCCCTTGGACGGGAGGCCGGGGTTCTCTCTGGCACTGCAGCAGGCATCTACCTGAGGGATCCATCTAGCTTGAATTATTTGACAGCTTAAACAAATATTTCTATCTGCAAATATTTTATATATTTTATAAACCTTGTCAGTCTATTGGGACATACTATGCCATTTCAGGGAGCCATTCTAGCTCACTACCAGCTGCTTTTCTGAAGTCTGAAAACAACCGATGCTCATTCATTCTCCCTCCCTGTCTCGCTCTGTAGTAAGGGTCAAGCCTAAGGTCACTCTGCTGCTCTACCACTGAGCTACATCCTCAGCCCTTTTTATTTTTATTTTGAGACAGGATCTTGCTAAGTTCTCTACATAGGATTCAAACTTGTGAGCCTTTTGCCTCAGCTTCCTCCATTTGGAAGTTATGAGTATGCACCCCACACCTGGAGCCCTTACTCTCTCTTGGTCTTCTTAAATAAACCTCCGTGATAGTCCCATATGACAGCCACCTCCCTCCAACTGCTCTTTCCCAAAGCTGCGCTCTGTGCCTGACGTCCACAGTGGGCCCTGGCTTTGGCAGGGATGAGGTGGCGCTGTCGGTACTGTCGATCTGGGTTTGTGTAGCCAACAGCCCCTGCCAAGGTCTCCTAAGTAAAGTGACTCAGGAAAAATAGATATTAATAGGAATCGGAAAAATGCCAGATGGCACTAGCAAGTAGGCAGGGAGCATTTTCACACCCCAACACCCCTTTGGCACTTCCCTCTCCATTGGGGTGTCGTTGGTCCCCAGGAACACACAGTGCCTGCCTGCTGGCGTCTGCCACGGCGCTGAAGCCCTCGGGCTGGGCTGGGCTCTGTTCCTGCCCCAGACCTTCGTTCGCTCTGGGCTGACACTGGGAAGTTTTCGCCATCACAGCCCTCTCGAGAGCCCCTGGGTGTGACCTTCAGTTTTGGGGGACCCAAGGCCAAAGGCAGGAGTGGTTCAGGGGGAGGCCTCGAAGCTCGTCATCACCTCCATGATGAACAGTGGATCAGAGCACATTTTCTTATGTAATCTAGCAGGTGTGTTAGGAAATAAGTGTTCGATCATAAAACATAAATTTTATAAGGAAGCAAAATCATTGCCTAATTCAGCTTAATTAATTTACTTTATTGGATTCTTATCCAAGTAAATTTACATCGCATAAAGTTAACTATTTTCAAGTAAACAAACGCACAGGGCTACTCAGTCTGGTTCCCAAATTCTCTGTGGCCCTGAAAGGAAACTGCCTCCAATGAGAAGGTCCTTCCTGGCCGCCTGCTCCCGCCCAGTCCAGACAGCCACCAGCTCCATGGGTTCCCTCCTTCCGAGCAGGCCACAGTGTGTGCCTGGCTTCTCTCCCCAGCCCCAAGTTTTCCAAGTTCATCCACGTTGCTGTTCTCCAACCGTGTTGTATTTCGAGTGCATGCCGCACCGTGCGCGTCTCCTCCTCCTTTGGTGGATGCCTGGACGCTTCCTTCTTGTCTACCGTGAGCCCAGCTCCTGCGCACATGCGCACGGGGACGGTGTGCGGGCTGCTCCTCGCTGCCTTGGGGCACATACTTAGGCCAGAACTCCTGGGTCGGAGGGTGATCCTATGTTTAACTTTTTGAGAAGCCACCAGACAATGCTGCACAGTGACTTCACTATTTCACGTTCTCTAGCAATGCACAAAACATTCGCCTCCTCCACGTCCTCACCAACACTTGCTATTTTCTGTTATCTATACTTAAATGATCATGCTTAAATGCCTAATCTAAGCATAAATATTTATCAAAGAAGAAGATCTTCTAGGAATTCAGGAAAACCAATAAGCCAGGCTGTCAATTTTTATTTAATAACTAATCGACTTCAAATTAAAAGAGAAAAATATCTCAATCAATATGATTTATCTTTATCTTATTTCAATGATGTGGCTACAAGAAGTACTTACAGTGGGGTCCGGGGATATAGTTCAGTGGCATAGTGCCTGCCTGGCAAGCTCAAGGTCCTGAGTTCGATTCCTGGTACCAAGAAGCAAACAAAATAAACCAACAAGAAATACAGCATAGAGTTTCGATGCTCCCTGCGTCCAAATACCTGGAAGTGCTTGTTAGATGACGTCAGTTGTTGGAATCCACCACATTCAAGTTACCAGAACCTCAGGGAACAAAGAAGGGTCACATGCCTGAGCTCTGTGCTTGGAATGTCCTCTGTGGCTGTCTTTTGGGAACGAGGCTGAGAACCGCTGATGCGATTGCATGAAAGATGGCCAAATTCAGAAGGGGCGTTCACCATTGTCATCACTGGGGACATCTGAGTTCAAGGACTAAGGTGGCATGGCAGACCCTGGGCGGACACAGTGCACGAGTATCGGGTCATAATATTTCCTATAACTTAAAGTTGTATTTCTAATTTGAGGTATTTTTCAAACTTTTTGGAAAATGGTGAAGTCTGGGATGAACATGCTAAAAGCTTGGGGAGTAGGAGCCTTATCCATGAGGAAATGAATTGAGTTTCATTCTGGAACCCAAGAGTAGGACCCACTGAGTGACTGAGTTCGTGTCTCCACACTGAGGGGCTCGTTCCCCCAAAGACACCTAACTCTCTGCATTTCAAAATTAGGACATGTGGGAATTTGTGTTTTGTTATTTAGGATCTAATTTGGAAACTGGTTCCTTGAATGTTTCGATCACTTTTGGAATCAAGATTTCATCAAAGGTTTAATGCAAATTTAATCCTCTATCTACACTCCCCTTTCCCCAGATAATAATAAATTAGCCCATGCCTCCCATAACTGAATACACTTTGGAGTTCTGTGGAGAAGAGCTTGAAATGTATGTTTGAGCTTCTTCCTTCTTTCCTTCGCCAGTCATATATCTCAGTAAGTCAAAGTTGGCCCGCTCGTGTTTATTGTATAGTAGATACTGCAGCAATACGCAGGATGCCAAAAAGAAAACAAGAAAAAAACAGAATCTCACTAGTTTCAGTTTAAGCAGAAAATAATGAAAGATGGTATGAAACCCAAGCACTTGTGTGGTCAAAGAGCAAGAGGTGGGGCCAGGTAGGTAGCTCGGCGGTCTAAGCACCTGCCTGGCAAGTGCAAGGATTCAGGTTCAATACCTAGTACCGCACCATGCAGTCCCCAGAACCCTGGGCACGCCTTGCTGGCCACTGTAGCCAGGCATGGTGGCACACGCCTGTAATCACAGCACTGGGGAGACTGAGACAGGAGGATCACCATGAGTCTGAGCTATGTATTGAGGCCCTGTACCAAATTAATTAACTGATTAATTAATGATAATTTTTGAAAAAAGACCAAAAGGTACAGTCATGAGAAATTCCAGGCAGCATGTGAGCATCAGGAGAGCATACTGACAAAGCTGAAGAGCGAAATGTGACGCAGCAACACCCGGCAGGTCCAGTGTTAAGCTCACAGAGTGTTCTCGTGTGAGGGTGAGCCCAAGAGCGCAGCCCCCAGTGGCTTTGGGGCATTTGATTTGCAGTTATCAGTGTGTGTGTGCAAGCCGAGCGTTCTTGCTCCTCAAGAAAGGCAGGGTCACCCTAGCTTCCGAAGCGTCCTTGTCCCGGCTCTGACGTTTCTCTCACCTGTCCCCTCCCACCTGCAGCTGGAGGACGAAATCACAACCTTGCGACAAGTGCTGTCGGTGAAGGAGAGGCGCCTGGCGGAGATCAGACAGCAGCTGGGCATGAACCTGATGAGCGAGCTGAAGCAGAACCTGAGCAGGAGCTGGCACGACGTGCAGACCACAGCGGCGTGAGTGCGGGCGGCGCGGCGGCCGCCTGCCCTGGGGCACGTCCATGGGCTGGGGCTTGTTCCCTCCAAGGCAGATCTGGGTGTTTGTAGCGAGGAAAAAAAAGAAAACTACTTTCTCTGAAACAAAACAAAGAGCTATGAATAAGTACAGCGTATGCTGCAGCATAAAGGGCCTTCACATCTGGGCATGGTGGCCAGGCCTGGGAGGCTGGGGCAGGATCACAAAATTCACACGCAGCCTGGGCATTGTAGCAATTTGGGGAAACCCTATTTCAAAATAAACAGTGAGAAAAGGCTGAGGATGTAGCTCAGAGAAAAGCCCCTGTGTTCAGTTTGTAGTTCTACAAAATAAATAAAGAACTTCATAAAGTAAAACTTTGTTGACTAAAATTTTAATTCTGTTTAGCCAACTGTCATGGAACTTATAGTTTAAATGTTTTTTCTTAGGGGCCAGGGAGATGGCTCAGTAGGATAAGTGCTTGACTGGCAAATGCAGGGATCTGAGTTCAATCCCCCATTCTGCCAAAAAAAAAAGTAATAATAAATAAATAAATGTTTTTTCTTCATTATGTTTTAAGACATTTATTAAATACATATTATCCTCCACTTTTTGTCATAAAAATTCTAAGTGGGCATCTTATTTTAGGCTAGGTATGAGTAACCTTGGTATCTTATTTTTCCTTTTGCTGAAGCAAAATACCTGATACCCAGAGTTAAGCAAGAAAAAACTTATTCAGCTCGCTGTTTACAGAGGTGTCAAGGCTGAGCCATGAAGAGGGGTGTCAGGGAAGAGGAGTAGTCCACGGCAGGCAGGCGGGCGGGCAAGCAGCAGAGTGCCTACCTCATTTCTGTCCCTTCGTGTCCTACAAGCACAGTGACAGGTGCCACCCACACCTTGGGAGGGGCTTCCGTGGTCTACACTCTTGACCCGCATCCACGCACCCTGATCCAGCCACCCTGACACCGTGTTTGGGGAGACATCTAGACACAAGCCAGAGCACCCATTTGCTTTGCACTCACACGTCTATTGGACTCCTTTTTAAACTGTGGAAGATAAAATGCTGAACTATGCTGGCAATGTTCTGGTGATTTAGAAATATTTTGTCAGGTGGTCTTGTAGCAAAGTGAGGAAAGTTCTCTTATTTTCAAAATGACTTTTCTTCTTGTGTGCTGAGTTACAAACTCAGCAAGGGAAGGGAAAACGAAGGCCTCCTAACTCTGGCTTTAACTTGAGCCTCCCATGCTACCTCAAGAAATGTGTGCCTCCAGGTTGAGCCTTTTCTTCCCTGAAGCTACTCAGTGGGAAAGCTGGTGCATTCCTAATGCCCAGACGGGATTCAATTTTCACCTGGCCCAAAAGAGCCCTGGTAGGAGTTTGAGGTACCTGTGACACACAGCATGTATTTTGCTGTTTTTCTGGTGATTGTCTTTGCCTGCTGATCCTTAAGAACTAAGTTCTCATATGCTCTAGTCCTTTGTGAAGATGCCCCGTTGA